ACTTCCCGACCTTATAATCCCTCATCACATCCTCATGTTCCTATAATGACTTTTTCATCTATCACTCTAAGGGGCAACATTCTTGGAATGTGTAGTTCTTTAGAATCTTATAATGGAAATATCGTGATATGATTCCTACACTCATATGCTGAGTCTTGCTTTCGTTCTTCCCAAGTTGATAGCATAATATGGACACTCGGTCTGTTACGTCTGGATATTTTTGCAAGTCTTTTTCATCATATTTTCTCTAAATACTAGTGGTGCCCTTGAATTTCCCAGTTCCCATTTCTAAAAGGTCAAAACCCTCCCTAAGGTGAAGGTTTTCCTTGGATGACTGTCCCAGACAAACTTAACACTAACGTTTTGTTACACTTTTATTGACTAAAACCATGTTTTTCCTCTGATGTATGTGTACTGTGTTTTAGGCCAAATGAGTCCCATAATCACCTGTTCTTTCATTGTGATGTAGCTTGGAAACTATCAACAAAACTTTTTGGTACTTCTGGTTTTATGTGATTTCCCCACCACCCTTCCTTCCCCTCCTCCAAAAATGTTTTCCTTGAGAATTTCTTTAGGTGATGGAGTGAGGAAGAGTTTGAGGATTCCTGCGAGAAGAACCATCTTTTCCAGGTTTTGGGTCTTATGGTTGGAGCTCAGTGGCAGAATCTTTAAGGATCATTACTTCTTCAACTTTTTTGCAGAAGAGCACTTTTTAACTGAGTTCTATTTATGTTTGTTTCTTTCTCCTCCAAATTTTCGGAGGTTTGCTTTGAGGAAACCTCATCCTCATTATTATGTCTCCTTTTCTATAACTGTTTATAACGTTTCTGTTATTATTAAAGATTAAAAAAAATAAATATTAAAAGATTTTTTTTCCTTTCTGTTCCTCAAGAATGTTTCTTTACACCCTCATATATATCTTAAATTCTAAGAGATATCAGAAATGTTCAACAAGTCAGAAAATTCAGAGAATTGCAATAAAAGAAAAACTCTCTATGGAGAAGTTAGATAATCACCCGTTGCTAAAAACACTGTTCACTTACAGATAAGGACACTAAACAAATTGAATGAGTTACGAGAGAATAGAGCATAGATAAAAATATTAAAATAATGAAAATAGAGTAAGAGATACTTACATCAGATAGTTTTTGAAGAATTCCATCTATTTGTGCAAAATAGGCTTCCAAAAGCATCTCCAGCTCCTCTATATTGGGTTTAGGATCTGATGAGATATCTGAGCTACTTTCCGACTTTGTCTCATCATCTCTATAAGATAAATGTCATCACAGAATACAATAAAAAGAATTAGACTACAGGTCTGTAATCTTGATATGCCATTATGCAATGCTGAAGAGAGTTGAATAAATTGTCATCCTTCCAGAAATGGTAAAATAGAATGTCATTGGCCAAAAATATGAAATAGTAGTAAAACTCTAACATATCTGATTATTTCTTAATGTCCGAAAAACCTTTGTATCTACTATTCAGATTGGACTTGGACTATTTGAGACAATCAATCAATTAGTTCACTAGCCAATAGACACAGATACAACCAATTGAGTCCCAATATTAAGATTTCAACACTTCAATCACCAAACTGTTGACCTGGTAACACTCAGACAAGTACCAAAAGAATCCTTTTGCAGAGAAACTTATCTTAGTGCTATATATTCTTGGACCTAGATCTTTTCAAGCCAAAGCAGGTAAAAGGAGGTATAGCAGAAATCCTTCACACCATGATAGGCTGCTCTTTTCAAAATTGGTACAGCTCTGTGGCAGTACCTACTGATGGATCTAGTAACGGATTGATTTACATAGAAATCAGTATATAGATTTCAGCTTTTTGAGTTTTTCATCCTTTACTTATTTAGATCTATTTTGTGGATTTAGTAAAAGAGAACCCAGCTATTTCTTGAGTAAGTACTCAACACTTGACAAATTCCTCTCTTACTATAAGAAATAAGACATTAAAATTTATTACAATAGAGATGCTGTTTTTCCTAGAACTTAGGAATGCCAAAACTGCCTATCCTTATCTTTATTCCTAGACTAAGACAACCACACCAATCCACCAAGATTATTCAAATATTCCCACAATAAAATTGACAGGATTTATTCTAATAAACATATAGCCAAACCAAACCTGGACATCTTGACCATAAAACTAGGAGCAATTAATTCTGAACTGCAGACTCCTGTTCCCTTCTTTATAATAAATGGGATACTTTCACGCCCCTAGGATCCCCAACATTCTATTAGTCCTGGGCTTCCTTCGGTTCAGCAAATTTACACGCATATAAATAGTCCAACTTGACATCTACAGAAAAATCTGTTAGGTACCCAATTTTGGTCCTTGTTATAAGGTTGATTTTGGAAGAGGATAATGGGTCAGTATAGAAGAGCCTTTCAAAATCTTAACAATAAGAAATCATTGCAAGGACTTATGTGTAATGTGACTATATAAGTCAATAACAAAGTCATTCTTTACCAAAAGTAGAAGATTACAATAAGAGGTGTTTAATAATACTACAAAATAGAGAAATACCAACAGACATTCATTGGACTTTTCAATTTGGGGTAGAAAAATAGAGAAGTAGATGTTTGTGACTAAGTGTGAATAATAATACTACAAAATTATTTACATCCAGACATCATAAACATGAACTTTTTTCGGTAATACCAAAAGGGAAGTCATCATAATGTACACAAACCCAGAGCAGCCTATGTCGACCTTCTTGGATTAACAGAGAGAGAGAGAGAGAGAGAGAGAGTGGGGGAGAGGAATGAATTTTGTGTTCTACAAGTAGCACTTTGTATCTAATCTTAATGTTAAGGTTTACTCTAAACACTAAGGCTCAAACCAATCTAGAAGAAATCTATAAATTTTTTTGGAACCATTTGCACATTCACATTCAGTTTAACTTGAACAATTTGTAACTGTAGTAGGATGAGAAGAAAATTGAGTATGTACAGAATTCCATAAGAACTCAATTTTATCATTTTAGGTAGGACTTTTATCATCTTTTTAGTCAAAATAATTGTAAATTTGCAAATGATTTCTAACAAAAGTTTTGCATTTGTTCTAAAGATAACCTAAGAAAGCTGTTTAAAAATTGAATAATAACCATTCACTTAACCTATAATACATCCCTCTGCCCCAGTTTCCAGTCTAGGAAACCCAACCAGATGCTCTAAGCTTGAAACAAATACCATCCCCTATATTTTCTACATAAAATTCTGATAAGGAATTTAACTTTGCCACTGTTGCTTTTTCTAGAGACAAAATTGTTTGCTTCCATGCAATCATACAAAGCATTAAATTTTAAGACTTCAGTTTCACAAGGGGGAAAAATCAACCTTTAGAAAGATAACAAAATGAAGTGACATCACAACTTGCGCATGTTTAATAACTGACTACTCATTTCTTAAGTTATATTTTTATCTATCTTTTCTCTTTTCCTGTGCAAGACATGCACTTAAACATACTCATATGCATGAAACACAGAAGTCAGCAGAAAATAAGCCAAATTGAATGATAATCAAAAAGCAAGTCTATAGAAAGTTTTTTTAGCCCTATGTGGTGATTGTTAATGGGGACCCTGAATCTTGATTCAATGGTAAAGATGAGTGAGGCAGGATCCTCTCTCCTTTCTACTTTTGTGGTGGATGTTCTTACTATATGCTTACCATGGAGGTGAGAGAGACCTCGTGAAAGGTTTTGGAGTCAAGGTGGATCGCATCATGTTCTGTCATTTATATTTTGTAAATGATACAATCTTCTTTTTCTTGAATTTGACAGAGTGAGCCACAAGGATCAATGTGGAGGAGGATGCACCATTTATAGGCTTACAAGATTTATTGGCTATTACGTGTTATCTTGGCCATTTACCTATGTCGGTGCCTCTCTTGGTGGTAACACGGGTTCTTTCTTGGACCAGCTGATGAAAGGGTTGGGTGTTGTAGGGACCCCGGTTTATTCTCTCTGGATAGAAGGGTTATCCTTATCAAGGCTTGTTTATCAAGTATTCCCTATATTACCTCTCGCTCTTAAGATCCTTTGGAGGTGGCTTCTAAAGTTGAGAGAATCATGAGGGATTTCTCATGATGTCCGTGGGAGAGTCTTCAAGAGACAATCTGGTGAGTTGGGATATGCATTCTCTTCTTAGAAAAGATGGTGGCTTAGACATTGAGAATCTCTTATCCGAAAGCATGAGTTTATTGGCTAAATGACATGCATTCTCCTCTGAAATCTTGTACTTTTGTGGCACAATGAAATAAAGAATAAGTGCAGATCGCACAGGAAAGTATTGGAGTTCTAGAGCCAGGAGTACCTCCATTGACAAGAGCCCCTAGAGAGGCCATTTCACAGCTTTATGACATTTCCTCCCTCATACCCGGTTTTTGTTTAGACTGCTGCTCTAAACAGGCTCAGCACTAATGATTTGTTACAAATATGCAGAATTAACTATATCATTTCTCTGGATGTGTTGTTATGCGTTTTGACACAGCAAATCGCATAATCACTTGTTTTTGCACTATGAAGTGCTTTCAAGGCTTTGGTCCATCGTTTTAATCATTTGGTTATTGTTGGGTTACTCATCCCTCCATTGAGTTTTTTTTTTCTAGTTACTCAAGGAAGACATACAGAAGAAGGAGGTTACTGTGTTAACGGGAGGCACCATTTTCCCTAGCTTGTGAGTGTTGTGATCGAAGAGAAACCCTAGAATCTTCAGAAACCAAATTAGCAAACCGTCTTTTCTATAGGAGATTATGCCTTTCTTTGCTGCTTTGCAATGCTAAGACTCATGAAGATGTATTCTAGACTCTAAAACACATACGTTTTAAGGTCATAAAACCTCTTTAGAGTCATAGATCCTCTTTATGTTTACTATAGATTAAGATGTTATCAAACTCAAATTTTAAATGGCTAACATCTTTCAAACTGCCTTCTCTAGGTAGACCCTTATAGGTTTTAAAGGTTTTTCTAATTTGATCATTCACACACACGTGACCATGAAAAAAGACAAGAAACAATTCAACATCTCAGTTCTTTCAAAAACTTTCTTTTTATAT